AAGCAGATGAAGAGCAAGGCTTTATTTACAGAATGCTTAATTGGAAACTGATGCAGCATTTACATTCTGGACATTTTATTTAGAAACAGTTCTGCTCATGTATGTAATATTTTCTTATGTTTTTAGCTAACTGGGCATTTGACTTGTCGTGAAGAGAAGGGAGAGCTTTTTTTCCTTAACATTTCATCTTTTCTTATTCCAGTTTTTAATCAGAACCAAAAATTCTAAAGAAGATGACCAGAAATTTTTCATTTGTGACATGCTGGTTACTTCATAGCTTCCACTTTCAGAGTCCTGTAATGAAATAATTGAAGTAAAAACCAGAAAATTTACTGCTAGACAAGAATATCCGAACTTTTAGAAAGGTAGAAAGCAACATTGCTGGTAGTTTCTACCTCTAACAGATGTGACTGTGTTCTGGTAAGACTCTTGTATAGAAGAAAAAGACAAAAATAACCCGTAACTATGTAGAGCTGGCCCCTGGATAAGGGATCTTTAAAGCTAATGCTCTCCTCCTTGGGATCAAAGATGTACTCCTTTGGGACTGACCATGATTTAGAAACTTGACCCCATTTTGTATTTCCAGATGACAGTTGCATTTTGTCTTTTATGATTAACTTTTCTGCATCCTGCCTTCTTTAAGTCTAATTTTTCTACCCCAAATCTGCCATTTTCTTCTGTGTTCTATTCCTTTTTCAATCTCCTATCCCCATTTTTATCTTTTTTTGCAGTCTCTTTTCTTTTGGTAGGTTGAGTATATAATTTTTGAATGAGAATAATTGTTTCAAGAATTCTCCTTTAGCCCTGGATCATTCCATCAGAGGAAAGGAATTTCAGTGGTTCCAAGTCTGAGGTGCCCCTGAATGTGGATACAATTAAACACTTGAGCGAGTAATCACTATTATTTAATAAATTAGCTGTATAACATTTACTAATCCATTTGGGGAAACTAATGAATGGTGGAATTACAGGAAAAACATTTGAATTCAAACAGCAGTGAAATTAGAGAACATATTTTTGATTCTATAAACTATAAATAGAGCAACTAAAAACAGGCCTTCGTGTAGATGACAAAACTTCAAATGAGAAAGTAGAATTTAAATATCAAGTTCACCTTATCAGGAAAAATATAGTCATGAGTTGGAAAATACATCATTTAAAATATATTCAAATAGATGAGGAAGAAGAAGGAAGCGTCTTGGATTTCAGGTTTGGGAATGATTAGTCTTGTGTAATCACGAGGAATCTGATTGATAGTTACGGAGAGAAGGTGAATTTCAGGTATCATCCTACCAAGAGGAGATAAATCCACTCAAAATCCTAAAAGCCCAGTCATGTCATATATCCTTAGGGTGGGTCAAATCCTTTTTCTGGCTATCATATATGTTAAGAGTACTATCTCCCCTGTCAAAAGCAAGGGTATTTCCAAAGTGTGGGAGCCAAATGGCACCAGTTGCATCCACTCCACAGGCTTCATTTTCTCTCAGGGATGCTGAAATTAGATATGTTTTTTTGAATGAGATTCTGCAGTGCCTGGACCCCATAAGACACCAGTTTATATCTGAGTGACATAACTCTTAAATGAGACTAAATCTACATTCTTAAGTAGACTTATATTGATAAAGATTTAAATAAAAAATGTATTTAAATATTCCTAAATGTCTTATTATTTGTGCAAATATGCAGTCCTCTCTTGTTGCAGTTTGAGTCCACTGTTCTTTCTATTTTAATAAGGAGGTGTTTCCAGAATACAGACAACTCCACTCCACATCATTCTTCCGTAGAAGTAACTACTACTGTGACTTTGGTGATTATCATTCATGCATATTTTTATAGTTTGACAACATATGTATGTATTTCTAAATACAATACATATAAATGAATGTTTTAACCTTTGATAAAAATAGCATCATACTGTATATAGTCTTCTGCAATTTGCTTTTTTTTTACTTGAACATTGTATTTTTATATATTATCCATTTTGCTATATTCACCATCAGTCTTAATTTGTTTTTCTTTAGATCTGCACCTCAGCTTTCTCAGGTTTATAGTAACACAAAAATGCTGCCCCTTCTAACTCCTTCATACTGTCAATCCTACGAACTCCTGTCCACAACTTCAAAAGAATCAATAGGAAATACTTCTGAACCATCATTCACCTTGAAGTAAATTTAAAAGTGTGATCAGGGGTAGAAACAACGTAAGTGCAAAAGCTGTGAAAATAACTTTGATAATTGTCCAATTATCTAATAACTCTTTGGCCAAAAGTTTACTGTCTAATGGAGAGAATGAGGACTTGCAGACAATTTTTTGAAAAGTAGCCATGATTTTAATTCCTTTTGTTATCACAGAGAAATTAAGAAAAAAGGTATATTTTTAGACTTTCTCCCATAGCTTTCGAAGATGACCTTAGCATTCAAGTAGTTTCCCAAAAGTGCTTCTACATCTTTTGAAGGCCAGTAAACCATCCCTGAGTTTGTTGGCTGTGAGATTGGCAGAGAGGTCTTATTCTAGGAATAGTGATCTTACAGTCTAGTCCTTACTCTGCTGTCTTTGGTAATTTATTTAATTTCTCTGGGCTCTCACTTTTCTCATGTATAAACTGAATCAGTTGGACTGGATCCCCTTAATGCTAATTTTTTCAATGATCTGTAAAATATTTAAGTAAAAATTATAAAAACTTAAATTTTAAGTCACATGCTTTAGTAGAATTTCATTTTCTGCACAAAATCAATTTTTATCACAATACTTGGATAAAGAAAGTACATAATGCATGAACATCCATTATTTTTAGGACATAGAGTATATCTAACTATTTAAATTAGTATGTAGATGTATAGTTATAATTTTGCCTTCATCACACATTTTGTTCACATCTATAACCTATTTACTTCTGTGCCCTTGAGTGATAGGCCTCTGCCCCAACTATGACACTGCTTTTATGGGGAAATAGAACCCACTTCCATGATCCATTTCGTCATGCAGGTTCAGGGGCACTCTGTAGGGATTCCACATAGGCAAATTGTGAGGACTGTGGACATGAACATATGGCATTAGAATCACCTGAAGATTATTTGGCAGTTTCAGTTACTGTTCCTAGGCCCTTCAGATATAAGGATAGGTCTCTTTTATTTGAGAATCCTGCAGAATCCTCCCTCACCCTTTTATCAGACAATTTAAATTTTGGAGGATTTTTGAATTCCTCATTGCAGATATAAATAAGTATGGAAAATAGCTGAGTGTAATCAAATATGTAATCTTCCATAGAACAGTGAAAGGTTTATAGTAACACAAAAATGCTGCCCCTTCTAACTCCTTCATACTGTCAATCCTACGAACTCCTGTCCACAACTTCAAAAGAATCAATAGGAAATACTTCTGAACCATCATTCACATTGAAGTAAATTTAAAAGTGTGATCAGGGGTAGAAACAACATAAGTGCAAAAGCTGTGAAAATAACTTTGATAATTGTCCAATTATCTAATAACTCTTTGGCCAATATGCTGTTGTAAATTTTTTTTAATATAAATTTCTATGAATAATGAATTACTATGATGATTTGCCTTTGAACGGTCTGTTTTTCCCAACTTTTAGTGGAGGAACAATTATAATTATTGCTATGGGGAATTGCTCTATTTTGTCCTATTTTATGTAGAACCATCTATTTTTCTGGAAAACCATCCTCATCATGTAACCTTTTAGTCCATTGATTCTCAAGATTCTTGTACCCATGGACACCAATTATATCATCTCTTGGGGAAATAAAATTATGCTAAAAATTCACATTAAAGCTATAGTTTTACTGCTTTATGTAATAGCCTTACCTCAGCCTAGGCTTAGCAAATTGCATTTAAGGAATCAGAGAACTTTTTGTTAATTTTATTCTCAATAATTCTTCTAGGGTATTTATTCATTAAATCAGATGGGTTGTTAAACTGTGTCCATTAAGTGTATAGGATATATTACTGATTAAATGTCAGGGCTCTAAGTAGATAGGGATTCATGGATAAGTACAGCTCACTTAATAATCACAATCTCATTCTCATACTTTCCTCACTAAAGTCTTTCATGTCACTCCTATTCATTCTCACTTCTACTAACAACTCCTCTGATATTCTCTTATCCCACCTCCTTTCCCATAACTCTTTCCTCACAGTAAGCTTCATTTTTCCCACTTATAGTTAGCCACATCTGCACTGATCTGTAGGCATATAAACCCTAAGCAGGTAAACAGAGGCAGTACTATCAACCTGTACAGAACGTCCTGCAATAGAGGAGGGTAGATAAGCAGGTGGTAACAAGAGCAGTCAAGTGAATCTGGGCCAGACCTGTAGACCTGCTGAGCTGGCCCAGCTCAGAGGCAGTAACAAGAAGGCAACACAAAGCAGAAGACATCATCATTAATGTAAATTCTGAGAGCAAATGAAGAAGGTGCGCTCCCCAAGGCGGCAGGGGGAAAGAATTCTCAAAGAAAAAGTAGAAAGCCAAGACTGGAATCCCAGGAAGACCAAGTGCCAGTGCCATGTCCAAAGGCACTGAGGAAGGACCAGAGTCAGTGTGGTAGAGCCAAGGGTTTACCTTGTGGTTGGCTTTATCAGTATGTGGGTGCATGCAAGTGCCAACAGCTGAGCCAAAAATCAAGGGTGTCAAAGAAATGTGATGGCAGAAGAGGATGCTACAGGAGTTGTTGAGGCATGGATTACGAAGTAGACAGCAAAACTGTCAGAGGCTGCTGGGCCTGATCAGGCACCAGGAATGACAGAGAAGCTGGCACAGGTGAGTGGCAGCTGCTGGGCAGGACAGACCAGATTGGTCAGTATCACAGCTGAGGCCCTGTTGGGCTTTAACTCAGGGAGGCAATTTGACTTGAGGCAATCATGAGACACTAGGTAAACCAAGGTAGTGAGGGCCCATCACAGAGAGAGACAGGGCAGGCCAGATGGCCGTTACTGTGTGTCCAGCTTCAAGTTGCAATCAAATAACCAAATTAAAATATAAGTCAGTGTAAGCCAAGGTCAATTTTAATTCTATACTTTGCTGGTGATACAGGATCATTTACTGTATCAATAATGCCCATGTAAACCCATTCTGAAATGGGGTTAATTGGATCTCTTATTATTGGTCTGGATATGTTCAACAAAAAGGAAACGATGAAGGCAAAACCACACAACTGTTTTTTTAAACCTGATAGACATTAATAAGGTCTAGGGAATCTTGAGTAGATGTAACTGACAGTGTTGACATTCACAAAACTTTATGCTGAGATTTCATCTTCCAGGAATTGATTTCAATTAGTCACATTTTTATCTTCCATCAAAGTGTAGATTTAATTTAGTGTAAAATAACTACCACATTTGAATACTAACAGTCTTTTCCTGTAGACAAAAAAATAAAGAAGATTGTTTATGTATGTGTACATATATGTCAAGATTAAAAATTAAACATAGGTTAAAGAACAATTGGCAAATTCACAATTTAAATTTATAGTTCCATTATGAAGCTGACGAACTTGTTAGTGTAAATAAGATTGTCCGCATATCAACAAGGTAATCTTGTCTCACTTGTAGCTATAGATTGCAAATCTTGTATCAGTTCAAATTTTTGCCAGAAGATGCTAATGACTTCACTGAAAGCAGAAGATATGTACAATGGAAATGGAAATGCAACCTAGTTGATTAATATACTTATTGTACTTCCTATTATGATACGAGCAAATATTCAGTGTTTAAGTTGATCAGTGATATCTTCAACAGTATCACCAGATCATAATTTTTAAAATGATTTGTCCAAAGTTTCTATCAACCCATCCTAGCAACAGAGCCAAGTGTTAAGAGTTATTGATGCCTAAGTAACAGCAGCTGCCCTGGAAATCTTGCCCAAACAGCAACTTAACTGCTATTCACAGTAATATCTGGTCTTTCCACCCCCAAACATACACAAAAGATTTTTGTCATTCTTGGCATTGGGCAATAGAAGTAGCAAGATATGCCAGCAGAACTCTAAAGGCAGAATGTCCTTCCACCTGTTTTATGCTGTAAGACAGACTTCCAAGTGCGAGGCGGTGTGGAGGGCTGTTTCTTTGAATGGCAGCTGAATGTGCCAGCAGGATCCTTGGCAGCAGTAACCAGGCACTGAAGCTGGGCATTCAGGAGAGCTAAATGGAGAAAAGAAACTTGAGCAAACTGCTTCCCGGAACACTGAGAACCTGAATGAGAAAATAAGTAGTACCAGATTCTCTCCATTCTAACACCAGCCAAGGTCAGATTTCCAAGCTCCTATTTATTCTAATTTTTCCCAAAAAAGTGCTATGGTGATTTATGAAGGTAATAAAAATTCCCTTATTTTCTTTTAGATAAAATGTTACCACTTTATTATGCTCTTGCTTGAGAATTTTTTCCCCATCCTACAGTAACAACTTCATACCACAAATCAAAAATATGGTGAAGATGCTCATCTACAGAGACAAGTGGCTTATTCTACATCTTATAGGACAGCTCCTCAGGTGAGAGGCTTAGATATGTCAGTTTGTTTGTTGAAAAATAATCTTGTGACATCATGTTAACAGAAAGCTGGGCTAAAGTCTGGCCTCTGCCTGCTCGGCAGACAAAAATCTCATCTCTCAGCAGGACACCTAGACAGAGAGAACTGGAGGCAGGAATAACTGCCACATAGAGTACTTATTCAAGAGGGTAAATTAATAGCAGAAGATCTAGGAGAAGTCACAGGCTTTTGTTAATCTTGTGCTACAGGCCTGGTGCCCTCTGGAAGGCTAATTTCAAACCTAGAAGCCCAGCAGCTTAGGAAAGTAATAACCACTGCCTGAGAGGGCAGAGGAGAAATCCTCTAGCTATTTTCAGTTTTTTAGGAAGCTTTAAAGTAATTATTTGTTTACTCAAAGCGTCAGGATGACTTTTAGAAAAAAAATTTGGACTCCTTGGTTTCCTCTTGGGAAGATAAATTCATTAATATTTGACAAATGTGTTTGTTTAGAAACAAAATCTTTCAAAACAGGGATTCTGGGGAGGTTGGGGGGTTGGCGAATGGTCCTTAAAGGGTTTTTCAGAGTGGAAGAGATTAGAAAATACTGTCCTAGAGACAATTGTTTAAGGGATGTAATTTTTCAAATTGTTTTCATAAAAAATTTACCAACAGTAGCTAACTTCCCATTATACCTTGCATCTAATTCAATCAAAGTACTGAAGATTTAAAAAGCTTGTTAGAGGAGCGGGTGTGGGAAATTCCAGAGCTGCTGCCTGCAGAGACTTCCTTTACTAAGTGTCTCAGACCAGACAATGCCTTATTTGCCAAAACTGCAAGGAAATGGTAGAAATTCAGTAGAGGTAGCACTTGCCTGAGCCAGGGAGCCTTCTCATAGAGTTGTGGAGTCTTCAGAAAGGTTTTACAAAAGTAGAGGCAGAGCCTACATACAGACTTTCATGGACTTCAGCAACATTTATTAGCCTTACTCCCATTTCATCAGCAAGAACAAAATCATTTTTTTTCTATTGGCACAAAAGTACATCTGTTCATTAAATCATCAGGTGTGCCCATATACCTATTAGATGCCAGGCTCTGTGCTAATTGCTGGAGATATAAAGATGAATAAGACTTGTGGGGCCACAATCAAGATTGTGTAAAACTGACCTAGATAGCTCATTCTGGGTTGCCTGGACAACAAGCGACTGGGGCCTGAGTTTCTCACCTCCTCCCCATAGAAATAGCTGCACCCAAATTTCTCATGGGACTTGTTTCTCCATTCCATCAAACCCAAGGTCCTCAGGTGCTGGACAACTGGCTCTGCCAGGCCACTCCTGTGAAGAGTGAGTATCTAACCCCAGACTGGATACCCAAGAAGTCTGATTATCCTCCCCCCAACTAGGCAATTGTCACTCTTGTCCAATAAGGAGAGTAGCAAGGGGGCAAGTTCCCATCCTTGAAATATCCACCTATGGTGTGTCCAGCAGAGAACACTGGACAATTTGTCCTCTTTTGTTGTTCATTTTTGCTTTGTAAATTTCTCCAATAAAGCCAATGAGATTCCATGGAATTCATCACAATCCTTGTTGCATGCCAAGTGATGAGCACGAAAGGATCCATCTTATACAACAAGGCTTTCCCGCCTCTGTAATACTACTAGGCACAATGCTGAAGTCACCTGTTCCAGAACAAATCCTGTCCTTCGAAAAAAGTATTTAATTTTCAGTTCTGGTGGCTGAGGGATGGAGTGGAACACGTCAGAGAGTTTGCAGCCCCTCCCATAGGAACGCAGAGGTTGTGCCCTGGAGCCCAGGGTTCCTTCTCTAACAGCTCAGCAACTCTGGGGCCATGCCTGTCTTAAACTGCCCTCAACTACTGATCATATGGGTGTTTCATTTTTTCATTAATTTAGTCACATAATCAGCTGTTTAGAAATTAAGAGAGATAATGGACTGGAAAGTACCTTGAAAAAGTGTAATCCTCTATCCAAGTAACATTATTTGAATATGAAGAGTATATTTATTATAGATTATTAACTGTTTTCTTTTTTGCTTTTAAGCTAAGAACTTATTCTCAAGATGAAGGCTTATTATGAAACTCAAAATATAAAATATATATACATGAACCTGCTCCAGCTGAAGTGAGGTGGAGGAGTGGAACTCTAAGGATTCCATGGAGAACAATTTGAAAAGCATAGCAAGAGATGCCAAAAGGGCAAAAAGTTTAGAAGTGTAAATCCCATCTATTCTGCAGCGTGACCATGGTGGTGAATACACAAACCCACACATGTGATAAAACTGGGTAGAATAAAATACACTCAGATGCAAGCAAGTATGTGTAGAACTAGTGCGATCTGAATAAGATCAATGGATTATATCAGTGTCAATCTTCTGGTTGTGATATTTTACTATCATTTTGCAAGATATTACAACTGGGGAAAATGGGGTGAAAGGTACACAGGACCTCTGTGTTATTTCTTTCGACTGCATGTAAATCTACAATGATCTTAAAATAAAAAGCTTCATTATAAATAAATAGGTGAATAAATCCACAGTCTAAATTTCTTCTCCTGTCATTTTGCTCCTCCAAAAATCACAGAATGTCAAACAAAAACCAACCTATGATGACCAGCTGAGATTCTTTGTATCCATGTTAATGGACATGGACAAGTGTATCAGAAAGCCTTCAGGTCTAAGTAACAGGAAATGCTGACCTGACTGACTTAAGCGATAAGGAAAATGTGCTATAGTACATGCTGAGAAGTCTTGAGGAGGCTAGTCCCGTGGTGAGTAGATTCATCATCATCAAGGATCACATTCATTCCATTTTCCTACCCTGCCATCTGCAGCATGTTAATTCTTTGACCTCAGGCAAACTCTATTACCAAGATGGCTATTATCAAGCTATGTTCCACATGCAGATGCAAAAATTATTTCTTTTTGGCCATCACGTTCTAAGAGCAAAGAAACATTTGCAGGTTTTCCTGCTATTCTCTTTACCCACTTATTTTTATTGACTAGGGTCAAATCATAAGCACTTCCCTCCATAGATCACTGGCCTGGGGGATGGGATTGCTATGGTCTTTAAGCAGAGCCCCTGGGATAGGAGATGGTTACATGTGAATAAGAACCAAGGATGGATGGGGCAATGAATAAGCAAGCAATACCAAAGAGCAATAGTAGTGTGGGATGAGAGTTGTCCTAGAAAATGTCTTTAAAAAGTAAAAACATCAAGTCTTCCAGGAAGTTTCAAAGCAAGCTCAGAAGGTGCTAAAAATGGAGTAGGCACCAAAGCACCAAGACCAGCCTAAAGGAACACACTTCTACAGTCAGTTCCTGACTCCACATCATGGAGAACAATGGGTCCAGTTGCCTGGACGGGCCTGGGGAGCTTGGAGCTAGAAGAAAAGCAAGGGAAAGAGGCTACCATAGAAGAAACCCAGACAAAGAACTGCCTCCCAGGAGCCTGCAAGGTTGTCCCTGTTATAAAAGGTCCTGTCCTGGGTTTAAAGGTGAGCAAACTTTTTTGCTTTGTTTCGTTTGGCTTGCATGAGGGTTGGGTTGAAGTGAACTAATGTATAGGGTTTTTTTTTTTAAGTAAAACTCTTTGAAAGTGAGGAAATGCAACAGTTATTATTTTATTTCCTGGCCATCAAAGATTCTTTTTTTCATTTACCTTAAATTTCTGATCTGCAAGCATAGCATCCAGTACTGTAGTTGTCACTGATTCTGAGTTGGTAGATAGCTAGACATAAGCAGGTAGAGGGAGGCAGACTTCAGTTAAATGCTTGCTTACATTCTACACATTCTGTACAAGCTGTTTCCATGGGTTGGGGAGGGAAGGAATTGATAAAAGACCAGCCAAAACTGGCTAGTTCCAACATGGAGGGGAAGTTGACCCTGACTTCACCTCCAAACATATTATACACTCATTAACAGAGTAAAAATCACGCCTCCCTGTACAATGACAGTTCGAAGGAGAATGAAATATAGTAAAAAACCCTCCCATGCCCCATATGAGGGAGAGGCAAGCCCATATTCCATGAAGACTCCACTTGTTCCCTTTGAAACCTGATCCCACTTAATGAATATTTATCTTCCTTGACACAAAAAAGGCTCCCAATGTTCCCTGGGAGCGACTCCTCTGGGTCTTCCCATGCCCAACCCTCAGGTGTGTATTGTCTTTTTCTGAATTTTATTCTCCAAATGAACTCTTAATACTTAACAACTTTTCTGCATGCATTCTAGAATTCTTTCTCCCAGTGAGACCAAGGACTCCTCTCCGGTAACAATTCCTTCCTTAATTGTTGTGTAAGATAAAACCCCTTTGTACGGAAGGCAGGCTTTGAAGGATTTGAAGAGCAGACCGGGGATAAGGAAAGCCTCTTGCTCACTGGAGTTGGTGTCAGGGGAGGAAGTGTCCTGGGGGGAACAGGAGTCAGAGTGTGTTACTGGAATATGTGACATATTTGGTGTGGGTGGAGAGGTGCAAACTATGGTGCAAATGAGAGACTTCTACTGCATTCCCCAATGCAATGCCAACGTCAAGGAGGCAGGGACTCTGACATTTTCCCCAATGCCTATCTGTATTCCCAGTGTCTATCACACAGTGCAAGTAAATATTGATTTATAATGAAGATTTTCCTTCTCTACTTCCAAGTTATAAAAACCTAG